TCTTTTGCGAAAGTTAATTCAATATCACGGTGGATAAACGCAACGAAAAGATAACAGGTTTTATCATTTATAACTGACAATAAATGATAAGTATTTTAAGCTTGTTTTTACTATCTGCCGTATCAGAATCTGACATCTTTCAGTATATGCACTGGTTATAGTGACCGAAAGGCGATGATACGATTGCGTGATGGCACGATGGTTAAAACACGATGGCACGATGGTAAAAACGCGATAGAAGGATGGTGAAACACGATGTGGCGATGGTACGAAGGTAACATCTCGACATTGAGATTTTAGCATCGTACCATCCTGTTTTCCACGATGCTCAATAGTACGATGGTAAAAACGCGATGGAACGATAAAACTATGATAAAACACCATTGTACGATGATTCACGATTCTCCAGACGGAACACCGTAGTACAAATATTAGGTGTTTGTTTTTAATTGACCAGAGTCATATTTACAAAGAGACAGTTTTGAAATTAAAATGGATATTTTAGCTTCTATATATTAAGTTACCTAATGTAAGTTTCAGTTGCTCGTATTGTGTTTCAGATATTAGGTAAGATTGATTTAAGTAGTGTTTAACCCTTACATTTTCGGGAATACCGGTCACATTTGAATGTATGATTCATTGAGCTAGCTCGGAAATCAGCTCCTCATTTTAAAGGGTATGTAGAAGAAATGAAATAGTGAAAAAGATGTCATAACTTCCTGTTTGGACTTTACTTTCAGATTATGCATTGTTTAAGAAGGAAGAAACATGGAAATATGTGATTTTATTTATTGATGTTGACATTTCTTTTTTCCCATTATTTTCCGCTATTTTTGTCAGTTATTGTCACGACAAAAACAAAGGAAAGCATAGGGCTATGTGTCAGAAACCTAGAAGTTGGGCACTTATCATTAATTGTTTGCTTGAGATGTATATGTATATATTAATTATGAAATGCATTTATTTCAGTTATGTGATTACAAACTTGTTCAATAGATTTTGATTGTGACACGCTCATTTGTTTGCGAGAAGCCTTGAAAACTGTGTATTGCCCCATCAGGTTGTGGTAGACTCACATAAAGGTGAGACACTTTATACTTTATCAGTAAAATAAAACAATAAATGTTTGGTTTATCAGATAAGTAGAGATAAAAATTTATATTTTTCATTTAGTAAATCTACTTTCAATCTGATAGCATGAAACTTTTCAACAAATTAACGTTTTGAACTACATTACATTACCTTTTCTTTGTTTTCGTTAAACACAAGCCAAACCAAACTTACAAAATTACAACCTGTGAGTAACAATTGGACACCATGTATTCAGTAAACAAGGTGTTTGATTTTTACAAATGCATTGATGCAAAGGATTTTTGTTTTATACAAATCATGATGATTTGGTTTTAATATCACAATGTTTCTTGATTTACAACAAAAATGTTTCAATGTAACGTGCTCTAGCTTTAAACTACATCATTTCTAAAACATATTGTCAAAGAGTATTGATCTATACATTATCTTCATTCAGGAAAATGGAGGTTTCCGGAAAGGTAACTTCGACTTCAAAGACGAATAGAATCTGTACTGTAATCCATGTGATACAACAGTGGTTTAAAACATATTTTGAATAGGAGGTGATTACAAATCAAACATTGTCATACAACTCCATTTATCTATATTCAGGCAGTCTGAGATCACATGTAAACATATGAAAAGGAGCTCAATATTGAAAATCATATCCGACCTATAGTTTGTGTATTCCGTCTATCAGTCGGGTCAGGCAACTGGTCTGTCAGGTCTGTTTCTCCTTTAGAGCCTGTCAAAATCTTTTGATACATCGAAATTTGTGAAATTTTAGTAATAATGTTAACAAATCGCATTTGTCAACATTCAAATTCAAACAGACAAAAGTAAAGTTACTAATGTAAAAGAGTTTTGTGATAGTATTCAATCTGTCATGTCTTTTTTATGTAAAAATTCCCTCACTATTTCAGAGATTGGCGTGTTTCGAACAAATACGTCGTTTTTAAAGATATTAATCTTTATTTTCAAACTTTCTTGTTTATCAAAAGGGAATGCCTTGCAGGAAAAAAACTGGCATTAGTGAAAAAAGAGAAAGGGGAGATAAAAAACAGTCCTATTGAATTCATTTGTTAAAACTAACCTTCAACGAAAATTTAAATTTAATCTTCGAATATGATCTTTATGTGTCCTATATCTTTGCGAAGTTTATTTAATCATATGGATCAAATACAAAAATACACAAAACTAGTTTTATTATTAAATAAGTGCTTTGTAATAGTTTTAGTATATGAAATAAATAAATTACGCGAATACAACACTGACTAGGGTGACATCGAGGGATGTTTCTGCAAAAACGAAAGTCGAAGGCGTTAGGCCGAAACGATTGTTTTGAGGTGTCGCCCAGCCAGTGTTATACCCAAAAAGTATGAGTTACACATATCATAAATGTGTCATCGCAATTTCAAATTTGTTTGTAACGGAAATCAGCAAACGATTACTATGTTCAGAGTTTTTTCTTTCTTGTGCCCTTTCTCTTTTGTTTCAAATGCAAACCCTAAAAAAAAACTGAGCCAATACCAGCTAATTGACCTATATTTGTACAACTGGGAATGTGTTAAACCCCGTCACATTCCAACCTCTGTAAAAACTACACAAAATATATATAGCTGCAAAAAGGTTTAGTTTTTTCCCCATACAAACCAACGACAAAACAGCACTGTTAAATATAAATACAGTTTTAAAATCCTCATAACAAGTGTACTAAATATAATGGGTAAGTAAGAACATAAAAAAAACATAACCATGCCATAATTAATAATGACGTGAATTTAAAAGTATAATTAAGTGCATATCAATACATGTTGGACCTAATATTACTTTAGAAACAAGGATGGTGTAATTTTTATTACAATACTGGCTGGAGAAATAGCTAAATAACATCTTCTTTGCAACATCTTTCTATCTGTGTGCATGTTTTAAACATTGACCAACATAAAAAAGGTTCTGTTCAAACACTTTACAAAACACTACAAAATTATTTATGCAAATAGAAACTGGTACTTTTTAAGGTCCTGAATGGGGTATCCAAGACGTGGTCTTTTTACCCTCCAAAATCTACACTTTAAGTTTAATGTCCAAATAGCTCGAAAAGTAGCATCATTGATATATTTAATGTTTGACCTAATTTTTATTGATTTCGTAACAACCATTTTTCAGACATATTTTCCAAGTCAGTGACATGTGGTCATGACAATTCTAACTTCCTTATGGTAGTCCTGTAAAAAAACGTTTTCAGGCAGTTTTTGTGTAGAAAATATAACCGTAATTTGACACACATTAAAAGGTTAATACATTTTGGAAATATCATCACTGTCTATCTTGCTTCTATATTACTGAGTGTCCATGTACTTGTTTGTTAAAAACAAATGTTAAAACAAGTATATTGATTAACTGTAGGGATTATCTATGTGTCTGTCGGAGGTATCTTTCCAACAAGTACTGCAAAAAAGAAAACATAGAAAACATTTTATATTATATAGTAAGATATGATTGCATTGAGGGGAAAAAAGATTTAAGATATAAAAATGAGCCTTTTGAATTTAAATCAAACAAATCAATATGCGGACCTTTGATGTTTTCAGAATAAAACCAATAAAATAACTGGCATAAGGTTACATGTTGATTGGGTTTTATATTTACTTTATTAAAGCATAAATCTACAAGAGTTGCTGAACTCGGAATAATTTAAACTTGAAAACCAAATGAACCAACATGAAACATAGAAAAACGCTGAGAGAGGTAGTAGTTTCACTGGAACATTTTACCCTGACTATGTTCTCACTGCTGTATTTAATCACTACATTACAAAGAGCTCCAGGTGCGCAGGATCAAATAGCTCAGTTATGTAGATGGTTAGCTTTCTCACATTAAGATGACAGTAAACTCAATGTCATGGTGGCAATCCAACATTTAGCGGTAAAGGGCAAGTGGCTTGAAGTCTAACATTTAACTGCAAGCCTTTTTACTGTTTTTAGAAATCAAAGGTGAGCGTTGGTTTATTCACATATAAGACATGAACAGTGTTATTTATTTACGGTTCCCGACCACAGTACCATTAATTTTACTACAAGACAAAAAAATATGTCAAATTTCAAGCATTATATTAATTTCCATACAAGACAGGTTGACCTGTCAAATTCACAGTACATTTGCAATTTATTTGTACACAAGGCGAGTATACCTGTACCATCACAAAATCATTTTTGCATACAAGACGGACATACCGAACCAATTAATTGCTTTAAAGATGGGTTACTGTCAAATTAAGATGAACATTACTAGTATTTGCATAAGACCGGGTGTATCAGTGTTAGTGTTAGGAATATTTGATAATCACTATTGGTTACTTTCTGCTTTTCTTATTATTATTTTGGAAAAAAGCATAAAACAATGTAAACTTTGACCAATTAAAGTTATACACACAAAAAATGGTGCTTATCTCGATAGATGACATTTTTTTTAGTAATTCAGTGCACTATTAGCCCGTTAAAGGAGCGTTTGTATATTCCTGGCCTGTTTTATCTGATTTCTGATTTAATCAAATGACTTAATCAATTACATTTCAAATAGAGCGATTTCTTTTGTTTGGAAATCTATGTTATAAATATGATTCATACAATATAATAAATTATATGAACCATTTTTAGACAAAAAAGTCAAGGTTATTTTGTTGTTTATTTTTCTGTGCATGAACTAGAAACTTTACATTACATGACCTCGACCAATATTTTCTATGCATTATCTCTAATGTATATTCTTAGACGAAAACAAGATGAATAGACCGACCTAGAATTTAGAATTACGTAGATACGTAGATATGTGTTAAATTAATTATATATTCCACCTGTGGATATGGTAATAAAGGCATGTGTTTTGTCGAATTCCATTTTAGTTAAACAAACTGCACGTTCTGCTGGTATACATCCGGGTATTTGTCTATAAAAACCAGGTAAATTTTTGCATGTTATTAAATGAAGTGATTTTTATAGTAACTTCAAAACTAACTAAAGATGGCATTCTATATTCTTGTTTCACTTTTTTTTCCTTTCTTGCATGAAGATAAATCAAATATATGGTAAGACTTTTTTACCTTTATTATTAAATTTATTTATATAATGTCATGTTCTAATAAATATTTATGCATATTTTGTCTATAAGTCTCTATGAAATTAATTTACTATATTGATTGAAAGATCTTATCTTGAATGTAAAATTGGGTTCTACATTTATCTTATGACATAAAACTCCTGAATTTGTAACTGTTACATAATAAGATGAAAATAAAAATATTATTTCAGAGAATCAAACAAAAATAAAAAATCCTAGGGTATTTTACATCAATTATTTTCAATACAGAAAAGTGTGATAATAGTTTTCTTTTTATATATGCAAATGTATATATTTATGGAATTTATTAAACTATGCAAAATGAAATTTTTACGTCTTTCAACAAATCATATACTGTGTTTTCTTATCTCTTGATTTTTGTAGTATCATAAATTTACGAACATATACCAAAAGCGCTTTAAATATTAATACACGTGATACAGTATATGTATATATATGTTTTCCCCATAAAAGTAGCAAAATATAAACAAAACAGTTTTTTGACTTCCATACATTATACTAACTCTCTATAACTAAACTATTTGCCAAAAAGGAACAGAAAAAAATAAAAGTTCAGGTAGTTGGCCAATGAGTAACCTATTGTAAACTATTGTAAAAGTACAACAGTAATAAAAAGCCTTTCAGAAATAAAAATAAAAGCACTTCAGGGGCATAGTGAGCCTTTAATGTGATATTATAATTGTTCGTTTTTTATTTATTGGGTTAACCGCACATTGACATATAACTGGGCCATACCACAACGAACACTTTAATTGTTAATATAAGATTTTTGAACATAAAAAAGATTTAGGACAAGGTCATAATAGTGAGTTAGTTAAATCTTAGAATACATGTTTATTTCCTTTAAGTAGTATAACAGGGGTTTAAAAGGAACTGAAAGATAATAATTGATAACATGTAAAAAGGAAATGTCCACATATCCAGCTCCAAATGTGTACACTCTCAGCAGGGTAATATTTGTATTCATAAATTTCTTACAAGAATGAAATGGTGAAATATGCATGCAATATGTTCGTACGTCTCGTTGTCATTTCCATTTACACTGTTGTCAAATGCATACAAATTTTATAATGCATGCATTTTATCAAACAGTAAGATTTTGTGGTCTAATATCAAATACAGAAAATGTTGTTTACAATATTATTTTATAATCTGTAAAAAAAAATGCAGACAATGAAAAAAAATAAAGTCACCATAACTGATACTCAATACATGTAGATGATATCAGTGACGACATTTGCAAAAGACAGTGCCTTGTAATTTGGATACCGTTTAAGCAAGAAAATATCGCATTGCATGCGAAATATTTTCTGAAAATCTGTTTTTTTCTTACAAAAGATATTTGCTATTCGCTTAATGATATATCTTGCATCGGTATCATTGTTTTTTCTTTCATTTTAGCAACAATTTTGATACACGTTTGCATTTATCAAACCAACGAATATCTAATGACTAAGACAATTCATACAGTCCATACAAAAGACAGATTTCATCAAAAAAGTCTTTACACCCTATCTTTGGGATAAACAATTTTAAATATCAGACCGTATTTAAATGACATTCCCAACCATTTCTGTATAACAGTTTTACGAGCAGACAATGTATAGAGAGCTATAAAGACAAAATGTGAACGGAATTTAATAAAAATGTTTTAAAATAAAGCTCACATGTCTATATAACCGTTAACTTTCATGTCTTCGTGTTTTTCAAATTATTGAACGATAAAACGTTCTAGATGCATGAATTTACATTTGAACACTCCATGAATTTTAGTGTGTTACAAGTACATAAAATCAATCATACAACCAAAAAGATGTTCTTATAGGAGCTCAATTGAGTTAAAAAGAACACATAAGACTTATAATTGTACATAGATGAAGTAAAACTCATATAATAATAACATCTTCAAAGTATATAAGGAAACATGCACATAATTAAACTAGTTTTTCTTTGTTCGGTTCTTAGTCTGATTTGAGTGAAAATCGCTGCAACGTATTTCAATTTTAAATCAATCATTTAACATACTGAAAATGATGATTCTTGAAAAAACGGGTAGAAGATATGATATTAAAATAAGCACACAAGACAAGACATACATAAAAATGCAAACAAATCTCGAATAAAATCAAAGGGCTGCAAGCTCAGTGGTGTTTTCTGATCCCTGCAATCTAAATCGTACTGTATATCTGTATTAGAGTATGAGCTGGAAATGGAAAAGGTTACCCCCTCTGGGTATTTTATGGGACCCATGTTGTTTTAAAGATAAACATATAGGAAGACATTTGCAACTTGTTGTCTGACTGAAACGTTTACCATTAAGACACAAACCAATGTGAAATATCTGCCCCTGTCACAATTTTTTAATAAACAGCCTAATTGAAATAACCATTAATTTTTTAACCAAATGAATTGTTATGTAGTCCGTTTTTGTTTTATATCATAGACAAGGTCTCCAAAATGATTTACTTCATAATTCATTGATGTTATTACTTTTCCAAATGGCCGCCAAATTCAAAATGGCCGCCATTTTCCTCTTATTTTATTAACATTTTAATATAAACTTTGTGGTTTTGTTTTAAAAAAAAGCAAAACATCACTTAATCATAAAAAGTTGTTTGTATAAATATTATAGAAGTTAAATAGACTTTTCTGTTGTTCAATTTGGGTTAATGATAATGCTATTAAAGAATATAAATTACCCCCCACCCCTTCCAATGTTTTGCAATACAGCTTTTTAGTCACATAATTATTACTCGAAATCTTCTTCGAAAATTACACCAATATAAATTTCCATCTCAATTTCCTCTAGATCACCTTCTTCATTTTTATCATTTTTAACACTTCACTAGCATTTTTATTACCTATGATTTCAATTAATCCTGGTGGTAGTATATTTTCCTCTGTCCAGGTAAAATGTATATGTGAGACCTCTAGTTGTACCAGTATTCCGACCATATCTATCAGGACTTGGAATAGTTGGGAATTGACAAAAGGCATTTCACCACACAAATACTTGGTAATTTGATATAAAAATATGCATCTTTAATGTGGAAAGATATGGTGGTATTGAACGCAAGTCAATAGGTAATTGTAAGTATGTCTGCATTTGGTCTAAAATTTTGTCTGAAAATGTCAACGCGCAACTAATTTATGTCACTTTATTTGTAAAATGCAAACAAATTGTTCTAGAATTTTGAAATCTTCTTCTTGAATATCAACACTCTTGCCCATTCTCTTGAAGACTGGTTATAAGTATATATTCAGGATATATATTAAAAAAAATAATACGGCTTTAATTTCCCCCTCATGAAAAAGGGCTCGTGGTATCACATCCAGTGAAACTATGTAGCCCAATCAATGCTTTGCAAAGATCTTCTCCTTGTCTATCAATGATTTTATTTTCTTTCAACAATCTTCTATTATTAATATTAGGCTTACCAGTGTCAAATAGTATTAATCTGTTGATAGACTGTGCTTACGTTAGAAGTAAAATAACATTAGTATCAGGATATCGTATTGCTTAGTCATCATTTTCAGCCGCATGTTCCATATGTAGCATAATTCTGGTATCGGCTTCCTCCTGAGACATATGTAGATCTGGAATCGGTATTACTTCTACTTTTCCATCTTTACATTAGAGGCATACACGTGTCTCTTCACAAGCACAAGGTTCTCCTTCTGTCCAATTTCCCTGCATATTTATCTTTAGACAATTCTTCTAATATCAATCTTATGTTTTTGTTACCTGTCCTCTGGTCATTGTATAATGACCTTCAAAATCATGCATTAGTTTTGCCTTGGCAGTCTTTGTTGGTAAGTTATCTGCTGTAGCTAGAGACCAAGGCACTGGTCCAAGCGGGTACGTAAGGGTCTTTTCAAGGATAATGTCATTTTCTTCTGATAACATGATAAGCTGACCGAAGACATTGTCAGCGGCCTTAACTTCAACAAGATTGTTTCTGAGTTTATGTCTCTTTCTTAACTTTCTTTGTATCGGCAAAGGTTTTTCAGTTTTGCTTCTTCAGTGGAGCATAAAAACTAACAGTTTTATCAACCAGACGTTCTTGGGCGAGCTTTTTGTGTGCTTCAAGTCTATTTCGGTAGGCATCAAACAGACTCTTTTCGATCTCCTCTGGTGCAGGAGCCCCTAAACTTAAACAAATAAACACATCCCAATTATCTGTTGCAAATGGATTCATAAAGTTAGTTATTGATTCTTTGAGTTTCGTGACATTTTTTTCAAATGCAGCTATATTTGCTGGTTGTGTATCAATGTGTGTAGAAGAATCCGCTGATATGCCGGCCATGCGGAATGTAGCCTCAACATAGCTGGCTCTCGAGTGTTGTGTTTGACTCCATCTGTAGTAGGCAGCAAAGTTTCTGCTGCCAATCCTATTATGCCTCAACGAGACTTTGCACATCTGTTTATTATTTGCTCTATAGGTATATTAACAGCATTTCAGAGCCAGGCACATTGGATCTGCTTGCACTGAAACCGTTATTTTGAAGAGGCTTTCTTGATCCGGTGTGTTGAATCAATTTATCAACATAAGAACATATACAAATAGATATTTTGTATAGATTTGATAATCATATGCAAAACATAATTGTAGCATATTTTATAATGTTGATATGTATAGGTCAAGATTATTTTCCTTCGTTGCTCTCATAAAACGAAGAAGCTGCCAAATCTTAACAATAAATCCCTTCAAATCTGTGCTGTCTTCCCTAAGTGACCTTTTCCGACGTCTTCCTTGAACTCTTGATACCTCTTGTAAAGTACAATGACAGAATCATTATCTAACACATCTTCAAGGTGTTCACGTCTTTGATTCTCAGCTAACACATTTAACGCTTGTTTGATATCTTCAACTGCACTAGAGTTGTGGATTTGGATAACTAGTGCTACAAAATCTTCAAAAAGCAATCTTTCGAGAGCTTCAACTGTAAACACATTAACATAGTGATTCACTCTTCTCTATCAGGATTTCTGAGAAACCACTTCCACGAAGCCGTTTGCCAATCGCCCCTAGGTATGAACCTAGCAAACGAAAAGCCCCTAAATGTATGATAGTATCACTGTACTTAGTCGGATTTTCCATACTGTAGAATATGCCTTTTAGCAGCAGCCAAATCAAATGTCACAAATGTGTATTGTTGGTTTACAGCTCTTGAAACACTTGAAATTTCTAGAATTTTCTTAACAGTTGCATTTTTTGTACTTTGGGCAATTAAAGTACATTGTTAGACATGCACTCTTCTGTAGAGGATGTTTGATCTTGCAACTCAGAGGTTAGAGAGATCCAGCCAGCCTAACTTAAAACAATCTGCTTGTCATGTACACATGAACTAGAGAAAGTCAGATGAAACAGCTAAACCCGAAACATTTCCTTTGTCAAAACTTATAAGTATTGATAAATGGTTCTTATTTCCCAGTAATTTAGCATTCAGCCAATTCTTCAGAATTGTATTTAACAGTGCATGCCTTAGTCGTGGTATATCTGATATATTAGTGGATGTTTGTTCTGTTTTAGTGTCATCATCATCATCATCTTACGGCTGTTCTCTTTCTTGATAAACAATTATGTGTGCCGTATGGGTTGTTATTTAGATGGATTAGATGGAAATGGTCCCAGCACAAATTTGTTTTCAAATTGCTTTTACAGAAATTGCATCAAGGAGAACAATGTTCCGATCAAGAGTACTGTTACACAGTTTCCAACTCCAAAATCTGAGAGGAGTATGACTGACAATGTCCGAAATGATTCATCAGTGTCTTATGCTGTCATATGCTGTGTTGCATTTCAATAAAGATTTATTCAACAAAATCACTTGAAAACAATTGATTTTAAGGGGAAAGCATACTATTACTTAAGCATACTGTTATCTGCTTTTTTGTTGTAATGGCGCAATGAAAATAGGGGAAGTAACTTTATAATGTTTTTTAAAGGGGAGTAACTATGATAATGAAATGTAATACATTAATCTCAATTATTATTCTAATAATAATAAAAAACTACCAACAAAAGACTTAAGTCATTTTAAATAAAATAAGAGTAAGAATAGTTTCCTTTGGTGGAATTCAACGAGCAGCCTCTGTCAAATAGTCATTGTGGTGCGGGTAAGCTCTACAATTCATTATAGTCATATGGATATACAGAAACAGAACGGAACGGATAAGTCAACTACCAACTTTTCAAATTGTTTTTCATATAAGTGAGAGTAAGATTCTAGAGAGGACAAAAAGTCAATATTCGCATGAAATTCAATTAAAAGTATCTTATCAAAATTTAAAGGCAGCTCAAATCGACCCCAAATATTTATGGTTCATATCTCTTTAAAATTAAAATAATATTCAACTGCACAACATTTAAAATTCTACCTAGAACAGACTTAGTTTCACTAAGCATATCATATATCATAAATAATTACATCAAACTATGTATAAATGGGTTTAAACACATTAAATATTGTTATGAATTGTTTATCTGTTCAGTAATTGGCGGCCATTTTAAAATAGCGGACACCATTAAGTATGTTACTTTTATGTTAAAACTAAAAACTGTTTGTATAAAACATAAAACATATATTTACAACTCAAAATAATGTTTAGATCACAAATTTACTCTGTCATAGAGAAGATATCTGAAGAAATCTTATAAAACTTATATAGAAAAAATATGATTCAAGAGGAGATAATCAACTTGTTCTATTTGATTCATGGTAAACGTTTCAGCTAAACAACAAGTGCCAATCGATAGCACATACCCTAAGCTTCAATACTATATAGGTGTACAAAAATACCCAGGGGGGTAAGGGGGGTTATGCTAGCCCAGCGTCTATATGTGTTTTCCTGTATAAGTTTATTTTAATGTACTATAAGTCATCTTGCAGGGCACCAGAGTTTGATACATACGGAATTTTGCATAACTAGAGTTGCATCAAAAACAAATTTATGTTAATTTTTTATGATAGCCACACTTTATCCTTGCATATCGTGGCTATTTCCTTAACAAAGACACTAAAAAAAAAAAGAATTAAAAATATGTTGACTCGACTGGGATTTGAACTCCAGACCTCTCACACATCAAACGAATGCGTTACCCCTGCACCACGGAGAAGTTTTAAAATCTGAAGCTGAATAAAATCAAGTGATTCTAAATTTAGAATTTCCATTGCATTTCGGGTTAGGGTAATTTCGAGGTATTTTGTTCATGGTAAACCTGTTGTTTACAATTGAAGTAAATAATTTAGCAAAAATCTTCTCGCCCAAACAGTCCAACATGAATAAACTATATATTCAACTACTCGGCAGTCAGATTTATTTGTGTAGTATTCGGTAATCGACATCGCTAAAAATAGCATTTTCATTGATTAAAATCATATTCAGCCGCGTAATTTGTGAGTGTGCGTTTATTGAAAACTCTATAAGCCAACGCTACTTTAAAAGTTTGAAGGTGTAGTAATTTGTTGGACACTTGTAACAAAAAATTGTTCTTTCTTTTAAATTGCTGGTTTTTAAGCAGTTTTGAGTGAGAACTAATTTGCGTTGTTAGGACTGTTAGGAAATTTTTTGTATGACCGTGGATGTAAGCTATGTATTATCTGATCTGCGATCAGAAAATACAAAAATTCTTATCCCGTCAAATAAAAATAGGCCCAGTGCTGTATCTTTAATTGAAATGATATTTTATCAGGATAATAATGATAATAATAATAATAATACTTAAAATAATAATAATATTTTTAATTATCTTTAGGTGAGTGTGAAACAGTTTTTGAAAATGCAGCAAAGCAACCTTGTCCGGCCGGACAAAGAGATGATGGTACAAGCTGTTGGCTAGATTCCTATGGTAGAGGAGTAGGTCGAATCCCTGATAAAACCCCGTGTCCTTCTGGACTACGAGACGACGGATCAAGCTGCTGGAATGATGCTCACGTTTATGGTAAAGGTTGCTGTTGCACACTATGGGGTTGTTGCCACAAATGCAGAAGTGGTTACCATGATGATGGATGTACATGCCGAAAAACTGGTGTTGGTATTAAGGTTTCATTGATGCAAAGACAACACTGTAAAAGTAATGAGGACAAATACGGTGCATTATGCTACCCTAAATGTAAACAAGGCTTCCATAATATTGGCTGTTGCATCTGCGAACCGACTGGAGGTCCTAGAGTAACCAAAGCATATGAAGATCGACTTTTTTGCAAAGGGACTGCATCGTTACTTACCGCACTGGGGAAATGCTTCACAGTATGCACTGTCCTTGATCCTTCGGGCAAATAACAGAAACTTGGGCATACGTTGTCATCACAGGAAGAAATTGTGTTACGACAGAGTGCAGCTGACATTGGCCAACTGCTTTAGTTCATTGAAATAGTAAAATTTACATTATTCTTATTACGGACTTTCGAAACAGCCCTAACACAATTAACCAGAGCTTAATTGCAAAACTGTTTATATGTCCATAAACGACATACATGTTTTTCTTTTTAGTAGCATTTAGATTTGTGCGCTTCTTGCATGAACAGAAATTTTGGGTGTATGAAGTCATGGAACCATTCACACTATTTGAATCGAATACTATTCTTTTTAGTCTTTTCTTCTTATATGCCGCATTATATATGTATTTTGTTTTGCAAAAATATTAAGAAGCATTTTGGAACCATTTGTGTTAAACACGGATTTATATTACAATATAAATCCGTGTGTTAAACAGTGCCATTTTGTTACAACTTAATTACACCCCATTCATATGGTTCCTCAACAATATATATTGGAACGATGGTTCATATTATTTAAACATTCTAGATCTCAGGGGGTTATACTAGTATATATATGAAGGAATATGAACAAAACGACAAGGGAGGGTACTCCGACAATCAAAAACGTTGGTCAAGAACGAAAATTAACAAAAGGTTACAAAGTATTTATCTAGCGTAGTGGTGCATGGTCTGTTCACAAAGAAAGAATATATAATTAAGTTTTTTGTATTGTCACGTGGGTCTGCATAATATTAGAAAAACCCCTATTACGAGCAAACTATCGAAGTGTCTCGTCGCTTGTCTTTAAATATATTTTACCATTTGTTATTCGTGTATAGTATAATTTTTATTTCTTGTGACAAATCATTATATTGCAACCAACCTTAGTATTATAAAAGTATACTATAGTATATGTTACGGTAGCCTCATTTTGGTCCTTTATTATCTGATGCTAAGAGTTGCTGTTCAAGGAGAGAAATTAAGTACTTAGTATATGGTGGCATATTAGTAGCACAAGATAACATACTAACTGTCGCGCGAATAAAGTGTTAAGCGAGATAAAAGAACAAATTCTATCAAGTTAGCAAGTTAGTTAGATAGTTAACGCATCTATGGCTTAAAAAATTAATTTTTCGTTTTTGAGTGGGTGACAAAAAATGCAACTAATAAGAATTACTATTTATTTGAAAGTTTCATCTTAGTTACAGGCATTTTCAACAAGTATCTGTCAATAAATGGTCATTTGGACCTCCTAGCATAACGTAAAATTTTGTTTTTAATTCATCCCGACAACAAAGATATTTACTATACAACAACTGTAATCTTCTATCATGGCCAGTTTCCGACCTTAATCGGGGAACACCACAGTGGAATATTGTATTAAAGGCTTTAAGATTTTGTTGACAGGAATGCTCAGCAGTATAAACTTTCACATTCCAACTGTAGGGCATGAGCTGGGACATGGTGTCCAGATAGCAGTTTTACATGTATTATCTTTTGCTAAATGATGTCATACATGTAATTTTGTCTGTTTAAAGTGCATCAGCTCATTCGTGTAAGTAATTCAAATATTATGTTTTTAGGCTTTTAAACCTCAGTGGAGTCCCCTTAAGCAGGTTCCGAAATCAATAGGTCATATCTTAAACTTATGCTGTTGTTACCTTATAGAAGTGATGACAACAGGGTGCATCCTTAAACAATACGTATTATAGTTGTACGCATAGAAAACACCTTTTACTAAATTCAAGCATAATGGATAAAACTTTATCTTTCATGACAATAAATTGTTTGTAGCCAAACTCCAACTTTATCTGTGTTTTGACTTGATATAGTAGCATGCAAAATATAAATAAAATCATTTATATCCTTCAAACCTTATTATACGTAAAACCAATTTTATACAGACTGACTGATGAACAACGCCATACATGATTCGTCCTGAAGTTCTTCGGGTGAATATACAAAAAGAATAATACGAAATGAAAAAGTAAAAGAAAAGCAATGTGAAAAAAATGAAGTGCAGATTTTTTTTCATATTTTGTAATGTTTCAGAAGAAAGAGCCTTAAATAACATTCAGAGATGTAAAATAGACATAAATTAAAAAAATAAAATTACGCATTATTCATTGAATGTTTGCTAAGATGTGTGTGGAAATTTTGAATATGAAGTGCGTATATAGTAACACACGTGTATATTGAATATGTGCCGATAAGCCTAATACTGCCCCTTGTATGCTTGTATAGAAAGGAAAAATTACCCTGCTTGCACTAAAATAACTTATTAAATTTTCCTCCAGCATGTTCCGAATAGCACAGTATGCTCGTTTATACTCTATACTTTTCGCACCATAATCTGAAAATAAATACAGGCCAATAATCGACTGTTCCTTTTAATCATTTGATAAGTTAACTTGAGAAACTGCCTTGGTAAAAATTTAATCATGATTATATGCAACAATTTATTTCTAAAATTACACATTCAAATTAACTAAAGCATAGCATGCTGTGTTATAATTTGTCTGTTAAGGACAAGGCCATCAATCATAAATTTTCACAAGCATTCTAAGATAAAAGGGACATAACTTTTTACATCATTGCTTTTATAAAAATGTCATTTTCTTTCAATTGTTCATTATCATGATTATCAACTATTTTAAGTTTTATATTGGCTATGAGTTTTTACATAGTTTTTCCAAATCACATTCTACTTAACAAGCAATTTTGACAAAAAACAAAATAACAAAAGACATAACTCTAGAAATTAAGCTTTCAGAAAAATGCCCGATGTCTAACAAATGTGCCTTGTCACTATCAGAAAGTATTCTAAGATTCGTGTTGATGTTTAAAAAATGGCCTACAATAAAGTTTTGCTTGACAACGACGCCGCCACAAAGACCAAAATAGCTCCACACTTTCTTCGAAACAGACGAGCAAATATAAAAAATAGTTAAAACATTCGAAAACATTTTACATATATTTGTTCGAGAGATTAAAAATTATCTTTAAAAATGGTATATGCCCTCAAAGTGTAAATGATGAGTAATGTTAAAAGTTATGCAATGAGTGTTTTCAAAGTTATATTTCTTTTCAAAAATAACCAATAAGCCATGTGACCCGCTGAAATTTCTGCTAATATCCTTCGGAATGTATCGGTTACGTCCACTAAGTCTTCTTGTTATATCGTGGGCAGTTTAAATAATATATTACCCAAACATTTGTCGTCAATAACCATTAAATAATCTTTTTATATGATTGAAACATGTATTAATTTTGTAAAAAAAAATATGAAGCTATATGCAAAACAACTATGCTCTCGGGATTTTAATTCCCGAAAAATGATTTTAAGTTGTTGATTGTCGATGTAAATAAGATGACCCACATTATTAAAAATGCAAAAGAATTTACAGACAAATAATTATAATAAATCCAAAAGAAGACGTTGAAGAAATTTAAGGATGTCCACCGCTATATTTGTTAAAACACTAAACAATATGAAAATGAGATGTCATGATGGGGCAGCATAGTTGGTATTCGTAAACTTTTTTCAATAAAAAACAGTTTAAAGTAAGCGGCTCTTGATAAAAATCACAAGGCCTTAATTGTAGAGTAACAGAACACAAATTTCTCAGTAAAGTCTGTAACGGAGCCCAAAACTGGAAAACTAAAAGTTTATAACGTTCAATAGGTTTTCCTTTATCCGCCCCCTTCCCCAGGACTCCCGTATTTTTCCCCTGTGCCCTTTGACTTTGTGGGCCTGTTTTTCAATCATTTATATGTTTCTTTGACTTCCTTATCAGGTACAAATTATTTCCTACTATTCAATCATTTATTTGTTTTCTTTGAATTCCTTGTACCCTGCCCTGTTTTTGTTTGGGGTCCGACCGGGCTCCTTGCCACTGGTTCTTGTTGCTGGGTCATATGGGGGATGCGTTCGTTGAACGCCGCCTTTCCTTGTTGATCTTGTTTATCATATTTTTTGACATAAGCAGCATATTTCTATTGACAAAGTTAGAAACATTGATTATCACAACTGCAAGGACAACAAGGACTCATTATGCTTAACACTTTTACAAACTGACTGCATGACAAGAGTTATGTGCCTGACGAACTTTCTTACAAATAACTCTAACTGCTGATATCTGACCTCTAAGTGTTACCTATACCTTGGAGATATAGGTCAGTTTGTGCATGACACATTGCTTTGCCATTATCATGGCGTGGAATAAAAGAAAGACAAAAACTTGATGCATTTAGAACTTGAAGGGCTGGGTATATGACTGTGCAGTTTTGGAAAAATCACCCTACGATATTGGCTGGTAGTCTTGATCGAGGATTCTTCTTTTTACAAATACTTAATTTAAGGATTTTAAATGACTTTGTGGGGCCTTGATCTAGATCTTAGGGAACCTAAACATATTTTCTGATTAATTATCATTAATACTCTTCTGCTAATTATATTTAATTTCCCTTTATCGATTTAAACCATGGTGTACACACACGTTTGATATTCACACATAATGACAAAGTATGACCTGGACCTGAAGTCGAAGAAACTGATGTCCCAGCTCTGCAGCCAATTTCATTACATTAAACACTTCTGTGAAAACGTTTTAATTTCCCCCCTTCGGCAAAAAACTTAGACAACAGACAGGGAATTAAGCTAAAAAGCGACAACACAAGTTGTATTTAATGGTAGCCATAGGTTGTTCTGATTTATGATATTCATTCATTTATTCATTCACTTTTAACATCTAAAACGAGAAAGCATACAAGCTTACAAGCGTCTACCTGATATAACCTTTATCCATCTCGTAGACCTGCTGGGGTTATTTTAAAGAGGGGACATTAAAAAGAATGTACGGCTTAATAAAAAGCTGCTTTAGACATTTTATTGAAGATATACGAAGTTTTCAAATAAGGTGTCGCTTAAAGTACAAAATGTTAAGCAAA